TAATACTAACATGGGAGACTCACAAAAAATGCTGGGGAAAGGATCAGGGGGAAGTTAGTGGGGGGCCTGAGCAGAGAGGGGGAATGCTGGGCGGAGAACCTCAAAAAGAAAGGATGCTGTAGGGGGAGGCTCAGAAAAGGAGGATGCTGAGGGGAGTCTCAGAGGAGGATGCTGGGAAGGCTCTGAGAGGGAGGATGCTGGGTGGAGGCTCAGAGAGGGAGGTTCCTGGGGGGAGGCTCAGAGAGGGAGGATGCTGGGGGGAGGCTCAGAGAGGGAGGATGCTTGGAAGGCTCTGAGAGGGAGGATGCTGGGTGGAGGCTCAGAGGAGGAGGAGTAAGGCTCAGAGAGGGAGGCTGCAGGCTAGGAGAGTTGCCCACTCAGAGAAAGATGGGGAGTCTCAGAGAGGGCCCATGCAGGGGCCTGATAAGCCTGTGCTGCTCTAACTGGTGCAAACAAATATCCAAGGATCCCGGTGAAATTTATCTTCTACTTCAATGGGTCAATGATGGGCCTGAGGCTCTGGGGTTCTAACCAGCCTGTGGGAAACACTGATGTAGCTAGTTATGCTCTGGTAACAAGATGCTGAGATGGTCTGTCTTGCAGTTAAACCCCATGGACACCGGGGAAAAGAGAACAAAGGGCTTCCTTTTCAGGGACCACTCTTAGGTCATTGCCAGTAGGACTTACTGCCCCTTTTTTTTGCCCCAGAAGGGGTCCCTTGGCTACAATGGGCTGCAGGACAGCCAATACAGGCAAACTCCCCTGACATGCCCTTTAATCAAGGTCGAGCCACCCAAGGGAACAGGCCAGGCTCCAAAAATGAAGCACCAGACCCTGCAGGTGGGGAAGCACAGAATTCCAGCCAGGGCCCCTCTGGCTTCCCTCCTTGGCATAATCCCCAGCAAGACTTTAACAAGGTGGGTGGCATGGCTGTGTCACTTGTCAGGAAATCACATTAATTGGTTTTGTTGGACAACCCCACACTGCCGCACCACCCTCACCACTCTTCACAAAAATAGGCAGTGTGGGCTCGCTTAGCGTTCTGGAGAGCTGGCACTGTCTCTGAGCAACAAAGAACCCAGGGGTCTAGGGGGTCACTCAGCTGTCCTGGTAGGCCTCACCTGATGGCTTGAAAGCAATTCGGGTCTTCTTGCCCTTGTTCACCTGCCTTAAGAAATCCTTTTTGAGCAGGTCAGCGGCAGTGGCACGTTTGTGGGGTTCAGGCTCAAAACAGGATAAAAGGAAGGCTCCAGCTTCAGCTGAAAGGACTTCTGGAATCTCAGGGTGGATCTTAAACATCCCCACCTGCATTTGAGGGAGAGGTGACTCATGTGACAGTGAGGCACCAGGGAACCCAGTGTATACACCTTCAATAAGAAGCTCCCCACCTGCTATCCTGAGGGGCTGGGGATGGATGAAGTGTAACAGTCTCAATGACTTGTACCCATGTCCAAGCCACACTGGCCTCTTGGGACTTTACTTTTGCCCAGTTGATTGTGGGGGAAACGATGCCGGGGGAGCTTCAGAGCCTGGGCCTTAAGAGACCTTGGGGCTTTTGCTGCAGTCCTCTTGTAGCCCTGAGACCACTATGCTGGGGGGACACCCAGGGTAAAGGACCACATGAACAAGGGCCTCCAAGAGCATCCTGCCCCAGTCAAGCCAGCACATGAGCAAATCTGGGTAAGACCAGAGGGAGAGCCAATGGGAAATAGGAAGTGGTTGTTTTCAGCCTCTATAGTTTTGGGGTGGTTTGTTACACAGAAGATAACTGAGATGAGGCTGGGACCACAGCCTGCAACAGGATGCTCTAACCGAGGGGGTTCAAAGGTATCTGTGATCTGTTCCCTGATACACAGGGACCCCAAAGGACAGCCCACTCATCTTTAAGTGTATATGCATTCGCAGCCCAAATCCCCCACCTCCAGCTACCATATGCAGACCAAACCTGGAAGCTAGTACCTCATGGCCCCTGCCCTTATCCCCATGGGGTACAACTGGCTAAGGGAGGGGCACTGCCCTTTCCTCTCCAGGCTCCTGCTACAATTTCTGTTTGGCTCCCACTTCTGGCCAGCTCTTCCTTGTCCTGTTAAAGGCTCTCTGTCCCTGTGGCCTGCAGGGGAGCAGGAGTTGGGGCTGAGTTATCACGTGTCACTGTGACATGGGAATGCTTCAACAAGTCTTGCTCATCCACCTTGCATAAATCCTCTTGCATAACTGTGCCCATCACGGGTGGCTCTCTCTAGGAGTTCTTGTCTTAAAGTTCGTAATCTTCTCTGCATCTTTTTGAAGCCCACCCAGTAAGCCCTGGGTGTAAGCCCTTCTGGCCTCCAGATTCACCCCATTCCCAGCTCCTTGGCACACCCCTGGGGCTGTCCTGGCCTCCCTTGTTCACTAAGTGAGATCTGGGTGCTGCAGGGAATGGCCTTTTGACTTCACATCCCCAAGTCCCTTGACCAGGGTGCACTTACCGTTTCTGACACCCTGCTCATTGTGGGCTCGAGAGTTTGGGTTGGGGGAGGGGGAAGTGGGGAATTACTAACAGATGGGCATAAGGTTTCAGTCAGGTAAGATGAGAAAGTCCTAGAGACCTGCTGTATAACAACGTACCTGGAGTCCACAAGACTGTACTGTGCAATGAAAGGTTTGTTAGGGGGCAGATCTCAGGTTAAGTGTTCTTATCATAATAAAATTTTGAAAAGTTTTGGATTGTAAGAACACTAAAGCTGGATGGAATTGAACCCCCAAGATCTGAAATGCAGGGTGCATTACAGGTGGCACTCCTCACCTGAGAGGTGGGGCCATGAGGGCACTAGGGGGGCCAGAGGAAAAAATTCAGGACAAGAACCCAAAGAAGATAGGGAGTGGATCTTCCCCTGGGTCTCAGAAAGACATGAACAAACATGGGTGGCACCCTGGCACCTTGCAAGTACATTACTTTTAAGGGCTCTTTGCTGTTAACTCAAAGGTCCCTGTATAAGTTTCACAGAGCTGCCATAACAAAGTACTACAAAGTGGGTGATTTAAAATAACAGAAATCTGCCTGGACGGGCATGGCTCAGCAGTTGACCATCGACCTAGGATCCAGGAGATTGAGGTTCGATTCCTGGTCAGGGCACATGCCTGCGTTGCAGGCTCCATCTCCAGTTGGGGGCGTGCAGGAGGCAGCCAATCAATGACAACCCTCTCATCACTGATGTTTCTATCTTTCTCTCTCCCTCTCCCTTTCTCTCTCTGAAATCAATAAAGATGTATTTTTAAAAAATAAAATAAAAAGCTAAGTAAGCCTCTTGCCAGGAATGTGTTTCCCAAGGACCCAGGAGCCATCTCTTTGAATGTCATCATCAAGGAAGATGATGCCCCTAACTACTGGAGGATAGGAGCCCAACTTCGGTGGCACCTCGTTCCAAAAGTACTTCCTATCTTAAAGATCTGAGGTTGTTTTTCCTTTGGGTAAAGCCCATTAGGTAACACAGATGGTCACCCCAGTGAATCTCAGGTGAGCTATTGTGACCAAAGGTGCTGCCTAGTCCTCACACCTGAGGACTAGTTAGCATTTCTCTTGAGAACATGGAAAGGGTTGTACTGCTTGGCTCAATAAAATGATAACAGTTATTTCTGTTTTCGTTCTCTCTTAGTGGATTGCCTATGATGCACATCACACTCTGGTTGAATGCTTATGCAATAACAAGACTGTTTCCTTTCCTATCTTTGTGGAGAGGTTTCTGGATTGAGAGGAGATTTTAATTACATTTCCCCAACACCAGCAACCTAAATCAGCAAACATGTCTTACTTTGTACATTGCTATTTGAGGATCACCAAGCTCATGGAATGGAGGCTTGCTGGTGGCCATCTCAATGATTGTGCAGCCCAGCGACCAGATATCAGCTGCGGGGCCATACCCACAAAGTCCTTGATCAATAATCTCAGGCGCCATGTACTGCAGAGTGCCTATTGGAAAAAAGGAAAACAAACATTATGGGCACCCTATTGCTTAAAAACTAAGCAGACCATTAGTAAACAAGTGTGTGAACATTAACTCTCATATTAATGACAGGTGGGGGCTGGTCTCAAGCATAAATGATGTGGTTGCATCTTTTTTCTTTAACCAGAGATATGCAACATGCCTTCCTTTAATACTAACCATGCTGAGAGAGGCTTGCTCAGCCCCTTGAAGGATAAATGGGCCCAATTCAATATGCGCATATTAATACATGCCAGTTAGAGGGACACCAAAATGTAAGAAACACAGTGCAAGACCTTTGGCAGCTGCCTAGTGGAGGAGACAGACATGGTGATGATGATGGTGGTGGCAGTGGCAAAATGTAGTACTACAATAGGTATACACAGAGGGCCACAAAAATATGGATGGCAACTGCTTGACTCTGCCTGGTTCAAGCCAGGGAAAACTATGGCTGGGTCATTTTGGGTCTCTGAGAAATAAATGCCAAAACAGGATTAGACATATGAGAAATTTGTTGGGGAGAAGGTGTATGAAGGCTAAAGAGGGAGGGAGCAGGATGGGCAGGGGGAACTGTCAGACTACAATGCAGGTCTAACACCTGGGAAAGGAGAGGATGAAGGATGAATTGGGTAGGGAAGGGTCTCAGATGGCACAGCAGCTCTGAGATAGCTCCAAGCCATGCCAGTGGGGAGTCCAAAAGTTGCCCACTGTAAGAGTCCCACATTTGTTCTAGTACCCCCACTATGCTGAGTCAATGGCTAGGAATAGTAAGTGAACATGGTGGCAGATCCAAAGGCGCAGCAGCTGGAGCTGCCTGTGAACCAGACTCCTGCTGCAAAGGTCAAGGAGGTGGACAAAGGGACTGGGAGGACTCTCAGGCAAGTGGAAGAGGTTGAGCAAAGACTGACTAGAAACCATCAAATTGTGCACTTCAAATAGGTGCATTTTATGGTATGTAAGTTATACCTCAATAACGCTGCTAATAAACAAAAGCAAAGGGGGCTGATGCTGGCCATAAAGGCCCTTCCTCCCGTTCAAGCTGGTTTATGGGCACATGAAGACTCTTCAGAGGAACACAGGAAGGGAGGATTTCAGGAGAAGAAGTTGCCCGAAGTCTCTGGCTCTACTTTCAGGCTCTGAGAGCTTTCAGGCATTTGCATGGAAAAGGCCCACTGTGTCCACCTACACCAACCGGCTGAGATTTCTTTACAGGACTGCTCTGTTTTGCAAAGAGTAATTACATGCAGGGGAATTTCCTACCCAAAATAAGACCTCTTTTTTTTTTTTTTTATTCCCCAAACAGCCCGACATCATTTTGCAATGCAAAATTCATGCCTCCTCAAGCCAATTACTTGGGAAAATGTGATATGTGATAATGAATTATACATGTCTTTCCTTTGTGAATTTTTTTCTCCTTGGGGATGTTAATTATGAGATAAATTGTTGAGGGTTTTATGCCTTGAAATAACTTCTTGTCATATCAGAGTCCCTCTTGTTACATATTGCGCCAAGTTAATTGGTGGCTTCCAAAGAGGAGGATATAAGTCATTTTCAATTAACGTAATAAAAAAATGTGCCAGTCATACATACATACTCTTATATATCCATTGATATATGTATATTTACATCAGAAACGATGAATGAAGAATTCAATACGCTCTTCCTTTGGCAGATTACGGTGGAGTCCTTAGTGTAATATTTTCCCATTTTGAGGTGCATGTACCTCCCCTGGTTTACAATTTAAAAGTCATTTCTGATGCATAGAAGTTCCCTTTAGACAGGGAATGTGTCTCTATTACAGGCGTCCAATGGCTGACACACAACAACTCTCTTGTTGAGTAAGAGTCTTCCAAAGCTGAGATATTCACCCAAACTAAGGCCAAATCTGTCCACTGTACAACTTGGTGCTACAAGGACAGACAACAGTCATCTGGCTTTTATAGCTTATTTCAGAGCTATAAAATCACAAGCGCTGCTTCACAATTCCATCAAGCAAGATCTTTGTGATTCTTTTATTATACCGTAGGGGATCATAAACTTTTACTTATCTAAAACCAGTACGGTACTTCTTGTCAAAGATGAAAATTGTTGCTATAGTTGTTTTCAAACAGGAATTTCAAAAAACCGTAGGTAGCTTTTGAGCATCATTCTACTCACTGGTCTTGTAAATGAAAAGCTAAGGGTAATTTTAGACTCTGACTCCATTCCTTCTCAACACTTAAATGATCCATCACTGACACATGAAAAAGAAGCTCCAATTCCTCAAGCTTCCTACCCTTGGAAACAAGCCTATCAAAGCATGAGGTACCAGGATGCACTCAAGTAACAGGTGGTGTTTTTTTTTTATGACAGACCAATAAAGTGTCCTACCAAGTTGTCTGAGGAACACTGTTGTTCACAATTACCCATGATTCCAAATTATGTGCTGTTAACTTATAAGAGATGCCACCATTTTGCTGATTGCTTAGAAACCCTCAGAAAACCTCAGAGCACTACACCTACCCAACCTTTGATGGCAAAGAAGAAAGACAATCTTGTTGCCACAGTAGCTGGCTAAGTGCATCATTATGACAATATTCAAACAATTTGAGTTGGAGACAATACAACGTCCACTTCAATTATCAATTGCGCACACGCCAAGCTCTGTTCTGCTTACCAGCAAAAGTCCCTGCACATGCATTCACTCCTGCAAGACGTTTAGAGGTTCCAAAATCAGAGATTTTCACCACTCCACTATAGGTATTCACCAGAATGTTATCACCCTTTAGAAAAAGAAGCACATCAAATGCTTAAAGACAGATTTTAAAACAGATTTGGACCTTAAGAAACAGTGATCTGAGATGCACTAATGAGACCTCTTTGGCTCACACAAGCAAGTACCTTTATGTCTCTGTGCACAATCTGGTTTTCATGGAGATACTTAAGGCCTTCCAGGATCTGCTTGGTGTAAAACTTGATGGTGGACTCCTTTATTGGCCCCCACTTTGATTGCAAAAGAGAAGAAAGGCTTCCTGGAAATGGACACAGCAGAGAGTTCATCAGGGTGATGAAGATTAAACTCTAAGAGTTCAGGGAAATAAAGTCAGGTGATATTCCTATCCTAATGTAAGCACTCACACCAAAATCTTTGTAGCTGTGCTAAATGCACTGCCTTTCCTCCCCCTATGTTGTCTGTTTCCCAAGTGAGTGAGCACTGCAGCCAGAGAAGAGACTGGAAGTGAATCAGCACATCAGCATCTAAGGAGAAGATAGAGGGTGAATTGGAAACCCTTGTGACCCTGGAAATTCAGGGGGCTACCTTTGGGGTTAGCTCTGTTCAGCTACACAAAGTCAGAAGGAGCGCAACAATGCTCTCTGACCTTGGGAGGGTTGGGCCAACATTGTAGATCCTGGACAAATGTCTCAGCCATTCAGCTTGGGTCAAAGCCACGTCTTACACCTTGCCCTGAGTTCAGAGGTGGACAGGACCAGAGGGCGGGGCTTTTTAGGGCAACAGGGGCCAGGATCAGAGGAGGCTGGGTCTCTCCATCTTCATTATGAGAAGCCCCCAGTGCCAGGTTATAGTGACAGGGCTGTC